TATTTGTACCCTATTTCAAGGTCACTTATCTCAGAGACTGGACTGTTAAAACATTTATTAAATTTTGACTCTAAAATAATTTTTTTATTACAATAACAATGTATTGTTGTTGTATTATAAAGACGAATTACAATACAATATTTATTGTTATTGTAGTGGGTCATTACAATACATTTTTTTTTCAGATTTTGATATTGTTTTATAAAGATGAGTTGCAATACAATATTTATTGTTATTGCATTACATTATTACAATAGTTGTAAATCACAAGTATTGTTATTGTTTCTAAATTAAGTTAATACAATAACGATAGTTATTGTTACTGTTTTTGTTTTTAATACAATTACAATAGTCCTAACCCTATTTGTAGATTTCTGAAAATATTTCGTCAAATCACAGGTGTCACATAAAATGCCCTGAGGCATAGGGTTACTCGTCAGTGGTTGTCTGTTTTAGATTGCACTCTTCCTATGCTTGAGATGGTGCTTGCGTTTACTTTAATTTTTTCTTCCTGGTTATCAAAAGAGGTTTAAAGATGAAAATGACAAAATTTTAAAGAGGCTATTAAATGAAAGTAAAAAACTAATGAAAAATGAAAAATGAAATGTAAAATGAAGTAGAAAAAGCTAACAAAACAAGGTGCAGAAAAATAAGTTAGAATAGGGCGCAACAAATCGTTTTTTTTTAATAAACATTGATATTCCTATCTTTATTTATTGATAAACGTCAAATTTAAGATCTGTCAAATAAGGGAGCTTTATTAGGCTTGTTATTAGGTTAACTAACTAACTAACTATATATATATATATATATATATATATATATATATATATATATATATATATATATATATATATATATATATATATATATATATATATATATATATATATATATATATATATATATATATATATATATATATATATATATATATATATATATATATATATATATATATATATATATATATATATATATATATATATATATATATATATATATATATATATATATATATATATATATATATATATATATATATATATATATATAGTTAGTTAGTTAGTTATAATAAGTTGCAATGCGAGCTTATCAGCTCACACGAAGTAACCCATCCGAGGATAAGCCACTGTAGCAACATTGCTAGAGGTTGTCCAGCCAATTCTTGAATGCGTTGACTGTTTCTGCGTTCACTGTATTGTCAGATAGCGAGTTCCAACAGTTCACGATTCTGTTAGTGAAGAAATTGCTTCACAGTGCGCTGTTACAGACTAATTCTTTGCTCAGTTGTCCTCTACGACCCGTTTTTGGCTCTCTTGTGATTGTTGGTACACACCATTTCACTTTGTTGATTCTTTTTAATATTTTAAATTGTTGTCTTTGCCCCTTTGTTGATGCAAAGTTAGACTAGTTAGGTTGAGTTTAATTAGCCTTTCTTCATAGATGTGTTGCCTTATTGCGTGTCCTATCTTGGTGGCTCGTCATTGAACTTCTTCAAGTGTTTTTTGGTCCTTTTTTATCGATCGTAATCAAGTGCATACTGCATATTCCAAATGTGGTCTGACATATGTTGTAAAGAGTTTTTTCCATAGTGCTGGATCTCGCGATATAAGCGTATTTTTTAACAGTCTAAGAAATTTATTTGCGTTGAATGCAGCTTTATTGGCTTGTTTTTCTGGCTTAAGATCTTGACTTATTGTGACTCCAAGGTCTATTTCTAACAACGTTGTTGTTAGATCTCTTAGATCTCTTTTTTCGCCTAATAGTGGATCTAGCATGGTGTATGTCGCTGATTTGTTTGCTTGTCTAATGTGTAATCTTAGTAAATGACTTTCGATTTACTAAGATTTAGTTGCATTTGCCAAGTGCAGCACCTATCACTTATCTTGTTGATATCATCTTTCAGGCTTTTAGTATCAAGCTCTTTCTTTCCTGGCCGGATTGGTGCTATTAATTTGGTATCTTCGACAGATTTAATGTTGTCTGAGAGGTTGTTAATGAAGATGGCAATTAGAATTGGTCCTAGCACGGATCCTTGGACAACACCGCTAGACACTGGTGCCCATCCTGATGTTGTGTCGCCTAGAACAACTCGCTGTCGTCGATTTGTTAACAATGAGCGAATCCATGCAAGCAGTTGACCTGTTATTCCATATTTGTCCAGTTTTTCAAAAAGGCTAGTATGCAGTACTAAATCAAATGCACATGAAAAGTCAAGAAATACGATATCTAAAGGTATTTTTTTTTTGCCATTGTTTTGATGACTAAGTCTATAGTTTCTAAAAGGTTTGTCATACATGACTTATTTGGGACAAAACCATGTTGTTTGCAACAGAAAAGGTTGTTTTTTGTGAAGTAGTTGTCAAGTTTATTCCTTACTATTTTCTCCATAATTTTGCATGGGACCGAAGTCAAGCTGATTGGTCTATAGTTTCAAGCTGATTGGTCTACTTTGTCCTTCTTGATGTTTATTTTGTCTATCTTATTTGTTCTGTGGTCGAGTGTGTTAATTTGTACGTTGTATCTTTTACTAAAGATGGACTCGAATTGGTGATTTAACATATCGGCTACGTCCTTTTTACTGTTTTTTAGTTCACCGCTGTCAGATTTGAGGGGTTGTATTGAAGTAGATATTTTTAATTTGCTGTTTATATATGAAAAGAGTTTTTAGGGATTTTTTTTGTCGTTTACTAAATTGAACTCATAGTTTTTGTTTTTTTTTTCTGATGCTTTTCTTATATCTCATTGCATTTTTGGAATGAATTTTTCACATAGATCATAGTATAAGTTAAGTAATTTGTCATAGCTTTTATTTGCGGTTAAGTTATCAAGGAAGTTTTCCCAGTTAATTTTTTCTAGCTCTTTTTTTATTGATTTGTAGTCGCCTTTGTAGTAATTGAATTTCCTGCTTGAAAAGGTGTGGCCAGGTATTTGGGCAACTAGAAAATTTCATTTGATTACTAGATGAGCTTGTTTAGTTCTAAGTGGCAAGTCTGATTGAAGATTTTTTATTTGATTCACATCGTCGCATATCACATAGTCAAAAGTGGTTTTACATTGTCCATTTGCTTGTATAAATGTGGGAAAGTCAACAAGTTGAGTGAGAGAACTGTCGTTGAGCATATCAATGAATTTTACAGATGGGTTATTTTCAGGGCCAGTGACACATATGGTACCATATTAAACCATTTTACATTTGGAAAGTTAAAGTCATTGCAGATGAGTGTTGAGCTGATTTTTTTAGTGTCAACAAGTAACTTTGCCTTGCTAATGCTTTTTCTAATTGCAGTATTGGTTGACAGATAATTTGTATATCTTGAGAAAGAGGGTGGTCAATATAAACACCCTATTAGAATGTTTTCATTGTTTATATTTAACGAATGCTAAATTTGCTCGCAGTTTGTGTCTGTTAATTCATTATAATCTATTTCAACAGATGGTAGGTCTTTGTTAACATAAATTGTGACTCCTCCATGATAATTCTCTCTATCTTTACGAAACACATTGTAACCGTCCAGATGTGGGACTGATCAGCATATGAACCATGTTTCACTTACTAAAATTATGTTGGGGCAGTTGACTAAGACATGCTGTGAGTTCATTGAGTTTGTTTGCATTTAGCAATATTGCATTGGTGTATATACATCTTATATGTTTATCAATATTTATTCCCACTATCGAGTTATTAATTGGTTGCAAGTTTGTAATGTCGTTTAGAAAACTTAGCTGATATTGATTTTTTGCTGCTGTAATCAAGTTGATATTTGATGATGAAGTTGTGATATAAATTGGCAGGTTGAGATGTTGATGTTGAGCATTGTTTGATAATATTACTATACTGTTAGCTGACAGGAGTTTGAGGCGTCGTGTGGTGAACCAAATTGGTAAAGGAATTCACTTTTTGTTGCTTTGGTCAGGCTAATATTTGATGATGGAATTATGGCATAATTTAGCAGGCTGTGATATATATAGGCCTCAGCAGGAATAATTAAGTGCAAGAGCATAGGAAAGCTCTCATAAAACGAACATGGCAAGCCATGTAAGCTGCTCTTTGAAACAGCTTTTTACTAGAACTTTTTTTTTTTTGCAAGCTACCTAATATTAAAAAATTGTCTATTAAATACAAAATTAGATTTTATACTCATTACAAGCATATACTTGTAACTTTGTTAAAAGAATATACATTACAAATGGCGCTTATCGCGCTGTAAAAAATTCTTTAGACTTTTTCTTTGGATTTGCATACTACCTATCCATTTATTTATTAAAAAATTTGATAAAAAATTTGACAAACAAAGAGTTATAAAAGTTTTTACTGCTTTAAAAATATTTTAAAAACTATAGTTAAAATCTCAAACATCTTAAAAAACTCTTAGGCAAAAAAATAAATAATTTTTTAAGCAAAAAAAGTCTATCTGAAACTTGAACTTTGCTTTTTTTATTTAATGTAGTTTGCACAAGAATTTTTAATTTTTCTAATCAATATCTAAAAACAAAAAAATAAAAAATGTATATATATATATATATATATATATATATATATATATATATATATATATATATATATATATATATATATATATATATATATATATATATATACATATACATCTTTTTTCCATTGGCTTATATTATTCATATGTAGTATTATTAGTATGGTATGTATTTGGACTACAGCTTATATTATATTTTTTTAAATGTGCGTATTCGCTTTACTGCTTACATTTAATCACTAACAAATGCAGATTTTAATTTTTTTAAATTTGAGTTAAGAATGTATTAAAAACTGTAGATCTTTGTGTTTTTACTGCACAGCTTTTAAAAACAATTTCATTTTTTTAATATTAGACTGTCATAGTATATAAGTACCTGATATTCAGGGCTATTTCAAGGTTTGCAGGCCAGATGTTAAACAAACCTGTTAAATAATGTAATATTTAAAAAATAGTCATAAATTTATTTAACATTTTTTTAACAAAAAAATTTCTTTGTTATAGCTGTCGAATTTTTGAACTTGAATTTAAGCCGTATTCAAAATAAAAATATATCAATAAAAAGTAGTAGTTGGACTCAGTATGATGTTACTTTAAACAGCAATCAGTATCAAGGTTCTTCAGCATTTTTAGTAAGTTGTTTCTGTATTATTTTTCATAAATTTATTTATTTTATAAAGGTTTAAAGTATACTATTGCTATTATTTCTACAGTAATTCTTATCACTATATTGTTTATATATTTTCTCTATAATCTTTTATTATTACTGTTTCTATTCTACTGTATAATATAAATAAATGTACATCCCAGTGAAAAAAAACTTTTCCTACATGGGTTTCATGTGGGTTCCCAAGAATCCCACAAGCAACCCAGATAAGAACCCATGGAGAACAAGTTTTTTTTCACTAGGACTGGCCTCATTAGTACACATGATTAACATGCCCCAATTACAGTGAAACAACTACCTCACTCAACTTGCTTTTTCGCCAAGCGATGGTAGTTTGTCAAAGTTAGTGTTTTGGAGTTAATGGGTTGAGAGAGAGTTGTAAAATTAATAAAAAACAGCTGAGAAATTAATGATCCAATTATAATACTTTTTAAAAGAAGGGGAATGAAATTCTAAATCTAATAAATGCGCTAAAGTGCTTTGTTGACTGAAATATTGTACAAAAATTATTGTTGGGATTTTAATGCATATGTTGATTGAGAGTTAGGGCGGGCAATATCTAATTATAAAAAAAGTTAATAAAAAAATTATTACAAAAATATTTTTTTAATTTGATTATTATTTTTCTACATTGTCAGAAAAAGTGTTTAGATAAAAGGTTTTTAAAATTGATTTTTAATTTTTAATTTGATTTTTAAATATGTCTTTTTTGCAAATCAGCTTTAAGCTGACTCGATTTTAAAAATGTATTAGTCAATTTTAGACAACTTTAGAAAAAATATCAGACGATTTAGTCATAAGTCAAAATATTTAAAAGTTGTAACAACGCTACAATTTTTGCAGTCAAGTATTATACTTTAAATGTTTTATTATTATTCTTGTTTATTTTTTAAAATGTTTTTTTATTGCTAATTTTAGATAACGAAGAGAATTTTTAAAAAACAAAATTTTGTGAGCAAATATTTGAAAAAAAAACTACAAGGCTCTATGTTAATGCTTATTTATTATTCCTATTTAGGTATCGTTAATATACAGTGGAGAGAGCTCAATATATTTGGACTCTATTACTATAGCAATTGATGGTATTAACATTTTTTTGTAAAATTGAAAATTTTTTCAAAAGTTTTGAAAGTTTTTTGAGCAGTTAAATTTTGTCTTATTTTAAAATAAAGGAAAAATTATATCTTGTCCAACGATAACCTCTTCAAATCATTGTGGATTTGATACAGCTGGTGTTGGAAGCTCAGGATGGTCTTTTGATAGTAAGTAATATATATATATATATATATATATATACATATATATATATATATATATATATATATATATATATATATATATATATATACATATATATATATACATATATACATATATATATATATGTATATATATATATATATATATATATATATATATATATATATATATATATATATATATATATATATATATATATATATATATATATCAGACCTTGTTTTAAATAAAAACGGCTTTGCTCTTTAAGTTGTTGTGATTTTTCACATCATAAATTTATCTTTATTTTTTAATTTATTTAAGGAAATTAACTTTTTTTAAACTACAGTAATAAAATAGACTACCGCAATAAAATGAATTACCACTTGTTTTTTTTTTCATTATTTCTTAAAATTGCGGCTTCGCAAATAATAATTTTTTACTTTTAAAAAGTTATTAACAAAAAAAAAAGTATTACTTGTTGCAAAGAAAAAAAATCAATTTAATTACTTTACCAGCACTCTTTTTGTGTAACAAACAAAGATTTATGTTTCCGAGTATCATTTATTAAAAAATATATACTGTTGCACTTTCAAATGCCTTGAAACAAATAAAGTTAAATGTATGCTTTATGAATATTTCTGATTATAAGTATTTATTTTGTTATAAGTTGTAACTTTTTTACAAGGAATTTAATTTTTTATAAAAAATAGAAAAGCAGGGAGAAAAACCGATAAAAAAACTTTTTTTCTAACAAAAAAAATTTTTTGAAAATTTAAATAAGTTTGGATCACAATTTTGCTTAATTATAAAATTATAAGAAAATTTCTGTTTTTACTTTTTTGATATCGTACAATCTGTTAATTATATAAAGCTGATAAAACAATTATAAAATATTATTTTTCTTAACTATTATTTTTCGCAAAATAAAACTTATAAATATAAACGAAGGCATTGTAAAAGCTATATTGCTTCAAGCGTAAATTCAAGCAAAAAAATTAATAATAGAGCTGTATCTATAAAAGAAGTTATTTACTTTTTAATTACAAAAAAAATTTTTTCATTAGATGTCATTTAAAATTTGTAATAATGTTTTTTTCATTTTTTTGATAAAATCAATCATTTAAATGAAACAAACAAAATTTAAAATATCAAAAGTGGCGCTAGTATAAAATAAATTTTAATGTATACTATTTTTTAGCTAATAGTTTTTTGTTTTGTTTTTTATTATTATTATTTTTAATCTTTTACTGAACATTTTTGATGAAAAAGTTAGTTTAATAAAAATAAAAGTTTTGTAAATAACCTGAATATCATATGTAATTGTCATGCAAACTTTTTTACTTAATTGTCATTCAAACTTCATAAGTAGTTTTTATAATGTTAATTACTTTTTTTATCTTACTGCTTAAATGATTTTTTTAGACTTGTTTAAATAAAATGGCTTACCACATAAATGGTGTGCCAGTTTAGGCTTTAAAACAAGACATGATATATATATATATATATATATATATATATATATATATATATATATATATATATATATATATATATATATATATATACATATATATATATATATATATATATATATATATATATATATATATATATATATATATATATATATATATATATATATATATATATATATATATATATATATATCTGCAACAAATCAAGCCCATTTTACTTTTGTGTTTTACATTTACTTATATAAACAAAAAAATGTTTTCATAATCATGCTGAAACACACATAGAGGCGCATTAACTCTCATGCAATCAAACCAGTTGGTGAAAAATGTATGATGTAAAGTATACTTGCAAGGCTCCAGTAGCTTCTCCAAACTTTATTATTTATCCAATTCAGCTGATGTTGGCATAGCAGTCTTTGTGTTGTGTATGGTGAGGACATCGCTCAGCGACTGTTAGCTTCTGTGAACACTTTTATGTCCAGAGTAGAATTCCATTTGGTTGGAATGTCTTGTATAAGCGACTCTTTCTTTTTTCCAAGTTTAATTTGTTTAATTCTGCAACACTTGATGTACTGTGTTTAAATGACCCACCACCTTTTTACATTTAGCCAGAGCATTGCCAAATGCGCTTTTGTGCATAGATGATGCGACAGAACCCTGACTGTATGTGACATTTAGGGCACATTTAAAAGGCAGCAGTGACTATATTTTGCATATATCTTGCACGAGCAACTATATTACTTTTCACTATAAATTAGTAAAAACATTTAGAGACCTGGGCTAGTTGAAACAAAAGTTAAAAAACTGCATTTATCTCCTTAAACTTTATTATTTATGAATTTTCTTTTTCAGGGCTATAAAATAGATGATATTAAACTTAGTTATTCCGCAATAGTGAAACAAAAGTGAAAGAAAAAAAATGTTTCAATTTACCTCGCAACGGGGCAAGTTGCAACAGTGAATGGGGTAAGTTGCAAGACAACAAATTTGAAATAATAATCCCAGCAGAGTTTACAGAAAAATTACTAATTAATTTGTAGTTTCAATTTGGCAACACAAATTTTATAATTACAATAAAAGAAAGTAGTATTTTCATTGAGCTCCAATACTTTTATTATGCTAGACTTTACATATACCTGACTTGTTTAGTAAACTAATATTTGTTTTTGAAAAAAAAAATTCTCTTAGGCAAATAAACAATTAAGTTTAGAAAAGGGCAAGAAAAATTTTTAGTTCTGTTTTTTTCTGTTTTTAGGATATAAAAACACAATAAGGTTTTATTTATAAGAAAAATTTTTTAATGTAAAAAAATAACATTAATTACATTTCAATTCAACTTTAATGTTTTTTTTTTGTGGATGTAGAAGAAGATTTTCTCTCTTTAGAACTAGTTTCTTTTTCATAGTTTTGCTTTCCTTCAGAAGGAAGGAAAGCAAAACTATACTGTTATCTTTACACAATGTTATTAATTGAATAGATAGATGAGACTAATGGTTATCTATAAGTAATAGCACGGAGCCATCTTTTGTTGGCTTGACATGCTGAATAAAGTGGTTCAAGTAAGTGACAAAGCACTCATTCATCCAGCTTGACCCATTCAAAGCACCAATTCAATCATTTGGTCCATTACAAATAAAGTGATTGAAGAATTTCGTTCTTGGAAAAAGAAACATTGGAGGCACACTATGGCAACAAGCATTCACACCTAACACCATTGTTGCTAGTGTCCCTCATTCTTGAGAAGTTAATGCTCAAACTTAATACCTTTACAAGCAATTACATTTTTTGGTTTTTGCACAGTGGTGATACCAGTCTTATCAACATTGTAAATATTAGATGCAGAAAAATGATGTCCATCTAAAACATCTGATAATTTTTGAAAAAAATGCACCTACATTAGCACGATTAAAGCTAGTTGCTTTTGTAAGACTTGTTGCTTCTGGAATTCTGATCGACAATGCTGAACGTTGATTTAAAAACCCTCTCATCCAGTCAGGACCAGCTATTGGATATTTTAACCATAATTTTGAAAAATTAATGTTATACTTTATAGCACATTCAAATGCAAGCTTTCGTGCTTCATAAGGTGATAATCCAAAATAAATATCAGAAGCTATTGATCTTGTTCTAAAGTGAAGATTTGGTGTGATTTTTTATAACCAGGAATAGGTAGTGGCATTCCCATATCGACAACTTTTTTTACTTTATTGATGTAATGAGAAAGAGTTGAGTAGTGGATTCCATACTATTTTGCTGATGCTCAAAACAATATTTCTTTTCCATCAATAACATGGTTTGCTGCCTATATTACCACTGCTGTTGGAGAAAGTCCTTTTTTAGTCTTTCTTTTGTAAGTTCGCATTTATAATATATGCATGTATGTAAATATATATATATATATATATATATATATATATATATATATATATATATATATATATATATATATATATATATATATATATATATATATATAAATTTATATACAGTATACATATAACATATATGTTATACATACTACAATATATATATAACACATATGTTATACATACAAGATATACAATTTATAAAAACTTATCTTCATCATAAAATTTTTATTTTCGTTTACTATTATATAAAAAAAGAAAAAAACTTTAGAACTTTAGAAAACTTTAGAACTTTAGAAAAAACTTAAAAAAAACGTAAGGCAAAAGTTCAGGACAAATCAGGACGGAACATGGCCTACTATAATTACACGGCCTGATTTGTTGCATTTTCCACACTTCCCTAAAACTGTTTGCGAGAGCTATTTATAGCTCTTGCAAAAGTTTATTTTTTCTCATTAAAGTTTACTTATTATTTTACATAAAATAAAAAACACAATGTCATTTAAAAAAAAATTAATTGCATAGTATACTGAAATGCTTTTTAAATGGCACAGTTGTTGCAAAAAAAAAAATTAGATTCAAAAAAGAGCGCTGATTTAAATGAGGAGCAGTTTGCACAGCTCCCCAAGTTCGTTTTAGGAGAGCTTTTCTCCGCTCTCATATATTATGTACATGTATATTATAGAATATTATGTATAAATTTATATATGTAAATTTATACATAGTATACATATAAGATACATGTATATATACATAAAGTTTTTGTTTTTGTTTATTGTTGCGCTGTTATATAAAAAAAGTGTCCATTATTTTAGAAAAAACTAGAAAAGTATACAAAATTTACAAAACTTGCAGCTAATTTATGATTCAACTTACCCCAAGCATTTTGATGCAACTTCCCCAATAGGCATCATAATCACTCTAATTAATGTATATGATTATTTATATTAAATAAATCTTCTTTTTTTAAGCTTTTCATGTTTGAAAAAGATTTTTAAACTTACCATCACTTTATTATGATCATCTAAGTTTACTGTAAAACTTAAAAACTTCAAAAGCAAAAATTAGAAATTTATATTGAAAAAAAATATATATCAATAACTTTTCAAATTTTAATTTGATTAGGGGAGAGTCGGGTAATGGCGAACG